AGGTACCGACCTGCTTCCCCGGCAGACACCACAACCTCGAAATCGGCAAGCGAACGCGTTAAAGTCTTTCGTTTTGTCGACCATTCTGACCGACGCGAAACCTCTACTTAGTATCTTAACTATTGTCATTTTGGAGCCAGTGTAATCAAGAAACTGGTCGGACAAACTGGAGTGCTTTGAAATCTATTTTGGCCAAGAAGCTAATGTGGGGGCTGTGTCGTCATACCACAGATTAAATAAAACCAGACAGTGCATTTAAGCCAAATTAGAGTGCCGAAAATGTTGTACACGCTATTTACAATAATAACGTAAACTGATAAGAATTACTGATAACAAGTAGTTGATTAACGGAGATTGCTGGTGATAATATTGTAGTTGTTCGATACAATCAATTTGACCATACTGTAGAACAGAAGAATTTTTTTTTTCATTTGTTTACATTTTTCAATTTTTTTAGAGGGCACTATATGGTTTTTTTAATCTATGGTCATACCTTCAGTTTTAGGACTTCGCAGATCTGAGCATAATAACGTTTGTTGGTACTTAAGTACAGATAAAAATTAGTTTGCTAATTTATGACAGGCGGAGGTGTAAACCCGTAACTTTCTTCTGTTATAATGAGGAATATCAGTTTGCAGTTGCTTGCCTCCTCACTTGTGTGTTCTAAAGATCATACGTTATTGAAACCAATACAATATGCTTACTTTAACTTTTGATTGTTTAATAAATACTAAAGATATTAACGGCTAGATATTTAAAAATTGTGAACGCTAATAATATGACCTTAAATAGTTACATCTGTGTTATATAGTTTAAATCTATTACAAAATATCTAAAAACGAAGGAGCATCGATGATAGTAATGACGGTTTATAATACAAATTTAATTAAAAATGTATTGGAAATTGACATGTTATGATTAAAAAAAACTGTGTTAAATTTAACCCAATTAGTTAGGATTTTGTATGGATACTTAAAAGTGTGTACCTTTTAAATGATAACTGCGTTATTTATAATTCAATATCAAATTATTAAACGGAATCGGTCTTGTTCTTATTGGTACTTTCCAACGAAAATAATGATAATATAATACATTTTGTCCGTATAGAGTTCACGTTTTAGGTTCATTTGGTCTTAACATAAAATCTCATTTATGATTCCAGCGCGAAAAAAAAATCCAAAGTTCAAGAAAACCATAACGGCGCAAAACTTAGAAACACGTGTAGGTACTAGGTACACAATGAGTTTTCGTTAAAGTAAGTTAAATTAAGTCACTTTAAGAAACTCCGACTCGACATTCCTTTTAATTAAATCCTGTGGTTTTTTTTTTTTGTCATGTTACTAGTGCACAATACACATGCATGTTGGCTGTAGATACTCAGCAAAAAGGTAACACATAATTCAAATTTAATTATATACTATTTGTGTTATCATTGTATAGGTGTAATAACAATAATCGAGTGAAATCTAATAAGAATACAAATAGACCATAAAAAAAGAACTTAGTATTACAGTTAAGTAACATTAGTTCTTCATGGCACACATATGACATTACCTTTATTTATACAAATTTTTTGTCAAGTATAATTGACAAGTTTTTTTTCGTTTACACCATAGGTTAGGTTAGGATGATTTTTAAGAACTCAGAGCCGTTTGTTTGCATTTCTTGTTTCTTTTCAATCATTCGAAAAAATGGAAAATTTAATTTAATTTTTCATGCATAACATAGTAGGACAAGTTGTGTATCTCAGATGTATTATGCAAGGTAATCGTGGAATTTAAGTTAGAGCTAGTAGTATAAAATAGTATGACGTTTAAAGACACAGGCAAAATTCAAGACACAAGATTTATATGGTTTAAGAATATTAGAATTAACAATTATTTTAATTGAAAAAAGCTCAAACAATTTATTTTTAATTTGTTTAATATATGTATTTTCTTGACAAGCTCTATCTATGGGAGAGTTAGAGATAAGGAATAAAATATTAGATATTACAAAAGTAACAAAAAGTACCAGTGTCCTATACTTGTATATTAAAACATATCCATGTTCCAATGTACTTTTGTGCAGCGGAGGTCATGTGCCCACTTTTTTCCATTTCAATTACCGTATTTACTCGATTTTTTTTTTAAATCAAGAAAGTAAAAATAACTTAATGAAGAGAGAGAGAGGTTGAGAGGTTTGGCTTGTCAGCTCTACAGTTTGTATGGCACAGAATGAAATGTATATAGAGTATTATGCTACATTATAAATTCCGAATAAAATGTTTTATTTAGATGAATTCCGGTTAATAACTGTTATTTACTGCATTATTAGGTACAAAAATAGTTTAGATCAGCGCATTTTTTCCTGGCTGTGTGCGACTCGAGGAACTAGAGCGTTTAGAAGGTGTCCTCCACTGACCACTGCCGCGCCTACACATCCGTTGATTGCTTCCGGTCGGTTGGCAGCAGCAGGGGTAGGTATATCGGTCGATTATCTCGGAGCTGTGCGTGTGTGTAATACTGCAATGAAGGACCAGACGGTACAGATAGGGGATAGGGTAAGAGTGTAGGACGCGAAAAAGTCATAATTAAAACCCACTGGGATCGCGGACCACTCTATTAGTTCTCGAACCGGTGCCAGAACCTTTTCATTTAATCCGACTGGACATCATTTAAACGAAAACTTTTCCATCCGTTTTAAAACCACCGTGTGTGTGTGTGTGTTGATTGCTCGGACTTTTACCAAAAGACTATTCTGCAGTTTCCCCCCCAGGCTCCTTGAAAGCACCGGCTCCTCTCTCCTTGCCACGCATCTTTATTTGGCGTTTATATGTATTTATATATATATAGATAGATAAATACACTGCCGTTGGAGCTGTATCTAATTATCCACGTACGAATCTCACGGCCGGGCAAATGAGCCCCCAAGGTTTCATCCCTTTGCCGGCACAAACTTTTCTCGGCCTGAATCGAAAATCGCCGGTTATTCACGTGCCTTATGTTATTCTTAACAACCCAAAAACAATCGTGATGATTAGCCGTTTCCCATTTCTCCGTTTGACGTATAAACTATATTAGTTTTGGTTAAAACGCCCAGTTAGTCTTGAACATCACCGTTGTGTGTCAATAGTGTGCATTTGTATTGTACATTTAAATTTGTCTTTTTCTCTTAAAAATTATGAAAATATTAAAGTTTTTCTTTTTGATTTGCTAAACATTTTCAATGGTCGATAACCAGTTTTGAATGAATAGTTTTAAAGGGTCCTTACCCCTAAGTAATTTAAAAGGGTTGAATAAATAGGCATTTAAACAATTTTTATTTAACTGTTCAATAATGTGTTTTTGTTTAAACATTTAATACCGCACGGTAAAAAATACATAGTTGGTTCAACTAAAACTATGGTTATATAAGGACACAATACATTTCTACTTGGAATAACTAAATAAATAGTTAGCCAAACTAAATGAATGGTTGTTTTAACAGAAAATTTAGTTGGCCCAATTATTTATTTAGTTATTCCAACTAGAAATGTAGTGTGTCTCTATTTTAACCATAATTTTAAATAATATAGATAACCCAGTAATTTGTCCTGTGCAAATGCAAATGCAAGAACATTTTACATACATTTAAAATCAAAGTCACGAATACAATTTTTTGTTTTAAAACAAATATAATTTAAGAAAATTCAGAGTTGAGCATTATTTAAGTAATTTTTTTATTCGAATGACCGTCGAATAATTGTTAATGGTTAAAACTTTTATTAAGTTACAAAACAAATTTAGGTAGTACACATTTTAGGTCACAATTTTGCCCAGTTAAAATATTTGGTAGCGTCAGGCTACCAAGGCAAATAATTTGTTATTTGTGTATTGTCATAGCTGTATCGAAAAACAAAATATGTATAGTATATGTTATAACTGTCAACTAATGCCATCGATTTTCGACTGTTTATAAAAATCTCACAAATTTCGACAATTGTTACTCTAACAGTAGTAAATATCAACAAAAAAAGTGTCAATTACTAATCGTTAGAAATCGCTCTAAATTTCCAGCAAATTATCCTTTATCTAAAAAGGCAATCTAATGTATATGTTACCATTTATGTAACAAAAGTCGATTACACTGAAAAATACTGGAAAAAAGTACAAAAAAAGCCAGTACAGTGGGGTTGGGGTATAGTGGAACCGACCATATTGAGCTCACGTGTCTAGAGGAATTATTTTAACTGAAAGTAGTAAAATCGCATTCAAATAAACGATGCCTCGATGCGTACCAGTGGATACCTATATGTAAAAGCATTAACAATAATGTACATAAAATTGAATTGTTACACAAATTTTTAGTATTAAGGTGGAGACGGTTAGGGCTGGTCGTCTGAACTGTCCGGTTTATGTGTAATCATAAAATATTTTGTTCAAGTATGGTTTATTTTATATTTCAGATCTAAGGTTGTCCATATTTTACTATGCTTTATTCTCTCTGTACTCATTACAGTTCGACAAATAAAACAGATATTAAACTAGAAATGATAAAGCGATAGGTGTATAATACTCTAATTAATCATAATACTTTTTATCGTGAAAAAAAGATAAAAAAGAAACTAAACAAATTTACTTAAGTCAGCTCAACGGTTCGACGGTTTAGGAGATCCAACCACATAAGAAATTATAATAAAAATACATCATAGTAAAAACTATTGCATCTATTGTTATTTATTTCTAGTATATAATATACATTAACGTTTTCTTTTTCTAGCTACATGTAAAATTCGCCGCAAAAAGAGATGCCATTCGATTTTGCAAGCTACAGTAAAAAAAAACCCGTAACCAGCTGTACAAATATTAAAATACATTTTCAAAATTTTGCATTAATCTTCTTAACCAGACGGTTTTTTACAAAATATTATTTATGTTGTGTGTATTGAAACATAACCAACCATAACTGATTCTTGTACGTATATAAGAATTTGAAAAATATAAGTTTAAGCAATAATATTATACAGTTTGATGAAAACACTATACTCACTTCATAGTTCATACTATACTGTTATTGTCAAGTTGATGTTTTTTTTTTTATTTTACTAAGGCCGTCTGTATTTTAAAGAAGGCATCAAAATTCCGTTTAGTACTGTGCCTATCCTTCACTTCACTGTTTGTTTCTTAGTGAAAAAATGATTTGGGAAATTACATTTTTGTTGGCGTGTTTTAACGTTTTAATAACATCACAAAGTGGTGGCCCAGTTTTTCCAGGAGAGGTAATTATAGTCAACTAATGTCTTTAAATTGTTTTTGTTAGTAGGCACAAATACTATTTTATATTTATTGTGTACAAAAGTCAGTAGGAGTTCCGCCAACGGTCTCTCAAAAAATTGATGTTTTTCGCACAAAAAAAAAATCGTGTCGACTGATCAATATACTTTTGTGGCGGTCATATTAGATCAACGCTTTTCCCTTACCAGATATCTGGTTATAAAATCATAGTGTCATGTGACGTCCTGGTTTTTGTTTACTTGCCAAGTAATCCATCTGTATTCATATCGTCTTTGGTTCACACTGCTAACAATATGTATAGTTTTTCAATCGAATTTCAAATGATAACTCAAAAAAGCTAATGACATTAATAACTAAAAATATTTTACTCAAACTAAATGCGAGCATGTCAAATCATAATTATTTTACCCCAATAAATGCTCTAAAAATATGCTAATATGCCTTCAAAGTAATGGGCCTATGATATTTACTGAATAGTTTTTTTTTGTTAAAAATAAGTTATTGATTTAAATTTTTATAAGCGATAGTCTGATTTTACTGTTCTGCACCAAGGAAAAAGCAAGTTTATAAAATAATAGTTTTAACTGGTTGTGCTTCTATTTTCCAAAAATTATTTAACAAAATCCATTAAAATTAATAGTTAAAAAACAAAAAATTAGTTTACATTCCAGAATTAACTAATATAAACATTTTAATAAAACCAATCTTTAAATCTGTGTTATTCCAATAATTATTAAGATATGTTTTTTTTTTTTAAATATGACTTTCTTAATAGTGCAACATTTACAAAATTGAATTTGAATTATTTGTTTTACAACACAATTGAAATAGGAACACTTGGAACAAGTGTATTACATGATTTTTGTGCGGTCGTTAAAAATTATGCCGACGATAGACATGACGGATTCTGTCTTTGACGACAATGACTGTAGACTTCTTACGACCGAATGCAACGTTAAAGAAGAATGTTTAAAGTTTAAACAATAAAAAAACGTCCGTTTAAATATTTACCTTTTTGTCGGGTCTCGTAGGTTCAGACATAAACATTGAAACATACGTAGACCATTACCAAAATCAAAATGTATCCATGCAAGAAAACGTATTAGCGTTCTATATACTTATAAAACAAATTTGAAATCAGTTAGGTAGACACTTCATAGAGTATGAATAGTAAAATAAAAAAAAATTTTTATCAACCATTATAAAATTGCAATATGCATAGATTTTCTATTCATATTAATCGTTCAAAATGTTGACATAACTTAAGTTTACTAATAATTTAAAAATTGATAATTATTATAACATCAACAACGGTATTATCACAGAGCGTTGCATGACAACATATCTAACAATGTCTAAGTTTTCTAACCCTCGTGCCAGCGCAATGTTTTTGCAGATTCGTAAAAGCCGAATTGATTTAAAAATATTATCAAAAAAAGAAGTTTACATTAATGTAGATTTGTTCTATATTATGTTCAATGAAATAATATACAAATAATACAAATTTAAAAAAATTACCTATTTCTAGAGTTCACGTTCCGGCGAAATTCCAAAGGTAAAAAAAACAAGCAATTAACAATTATTATAATAAATTTATGATTTTAAAATCAACACTTTGAAACAATATTTTTAGCTTGAAACGTAGAAGGTATTTTTAATCGATTGATAATATTTTATTTTATATGTTTTTGGCTATTTTCTAAAAGATAATTGAAATAAAAAAAATTACTGTAAATTAAAAGTGATATGCAGAGTTATTTGAAAAATAAAAAAGATTCGAGTAACTACTAGGTAAATTCACATTTAGAAATTATTGTCTAGAACAATCAAAAGAATTTTCAAAAAATGAATGCAGAACTAACTTAAATATACATTTTTCATGCAATCGACGTTTGAATAATGTTTTGTCTCAATAATGATTTAGAAAAAGTTTTTTTAAATGAAATATAACTGCTTTTATACATTACAATTTTCAAAATTTGATTTGATTCGTTTGTTTTATAACACACTTGAAATAGGAATACTTGGAACCATTGTATCACAAGGATGTTGTTGGGCCGTTAAGTGAAATACCGACGTTAGACATGTCGGAGGTTGCCTTTAACGACAAGGACTATCACTTTCTTACGACCGAATGCAAGGTTGACGAAGACTGTTTGAACAATAAAAAAGCATCCGTCGAAAAGTATCACCAAAGAATGCAAGCGATCCAGTGTGTTAATGGGTTGTATGTTTTGAATGTTTTGGATGAACTAAAATCAATCATGGTCGGTCTGAAAAATAACAGCACTTCAATTTCTTCACTTCAAGAGACAGTCGAGGAATATAAATTTTATATGTCCAGCATTCTAACACTTTTACACATTGCAAAATCGGACCCATACGCATGGCAAATCGAGATGTTTACTTTTTTGTCGGGACTCGCAGATTCGGACGTTAACATTAAATCATACGTGGATCATTTCGAAAGTCTCAGCGTATCCATGCGAAATACCATATTAGTGTTCGTTAACCGATGTGTCCAGCACAGCTATTTAATGTCGCTGGACAACAGAACAGCAGAGAAGCCGGTATTCCGATTTATTGAATCTGTGTACAAAGATTTTGAAGTGATAGCCATCCCCAGACTATTATATACAGTACCGAATCTCATGTTACAGTATCTGTATCCGGAGGACGATTTCATATTTGATTGGTCGGAGTTCGAAATCAAACTTGATACGAGTAATGTCAATCGTGAGATGAGGACACAACTCGGGTTTTACTGTCCGCAGAATTTGGTTCATGAATGGCAATTGGATCCGATCGGCGGTAATAAGTACAATGTGCTGATTGCTAAATACATCCACTTAAGGCTTGAGTACGTAGCATGGTTCCACTTATACTTATACCGCACCTTACTGGACCGAGAGCTTGACGGACCCCTACAAAACCCTTTCTTAAAAAAAACATTGATCAAATTATGGATAACACTCGCCCCTTATCTTAAATGTGTCTTGAGATATGTTGGGTTTAACGAAAACATCTACTGGTCTGCAATGAATATTATGATGGTCGACTTTAAGAAGATTAGCAAAGAGGAACTCGCGGCACGGGAAAAGTATACGAGAAATTATTTTTGTCAATCTGTAGAGGATTTAGGGCTCGCTAGTGCATCCGACATTAATCAGCAATTGAAGAAAGTATCAATTCCAAAAGATTACCGTTTAATGTACATTAGAATCGTAACTAATGTCTCAAGGACAGACCAATACTGTTCTGATATAATAACTGCATCACAACCAAGTAGAGGCGAATATCGTCCATTAAAATTCAACACATTATATTTCAAAGAAAGATATATTCGTATATTATTAAACGCTGAAGGAAATGAAAACTTTGTGATGCGTGAGAAAATTTGAAAATGAAAAATAAATATTAATTCAAATAAATATAAAATTTATAATTTTCTTATGCGCTTGACACTCATGTATTTTCATTATAACCTCTTTAAAATATAAATATGTGTTTAAATATTAATAGTATTTCATAAAATATGTATTATATTTCTATAATTGAATAATATAATATACATAGTTGGGTGTTATTAAGATAATTTGTTGTCAATCTGTTTTTTATATAGTTCATGGTTTATACTGCTAAAAATGTTTATAGTGATAATTTCAAATAGCTCATGACATCAATTTTTGAAATTAATTCTTTTAAACTTAATACGAGCGCAATGTTTTTGATAATAGGCATTAGAAGAATTACTAATTGAAAAAAACATTTTCTGCAAAATAGTTTTGAAATGTTAAAAAATTATATTTCCATGTCATTCCATAATTATTTTAGACGTTGACTTATAATATATTTATAGATACTATTTTACGATTAGGAGGGGAGAAAACCGCTATTTATCAAGGGGTAAACGATAGGCAATACTGGTCAAAATTTTGTCTAGTAACCATTGTAATTTTGTATTATTTATTATTTTATTAAATATTATAATGTGAGTAACATTACACAGATCACTGCAAAAAAAAAATATCGGAAAGATTATAAAAGAACTATATCTACGTATGTTTGAATACATTTTACACAATATTTAACACTAAAAAATATTAATAAAAAAAAAAAATTATAATAATAATTGATTTATTTTATTAATAATTTCGCGACTGAGAAACTGACATTATAAGTTACACTCCTTCAAATGGAGTTTCATTTATTTCGCAATAACGATCAAAAGGCTTCCATCAAAGATGATCTATGCAACTAGATATGAGACGACGATAGATGCAATGTTCTCACTTACCTTAAGAACGTGTATTCAAAACTGTTGACATATTTTAGTTATCAGAGACCAACTGTCACCATTATTCCATTAAAACCATATGCTAATGTTATAGAAATAAAATTATTATTTTGTCGACAAAACTGATTTTTGATTTAGCTATCGGAAAGTGAGTTAGATTTATTAGAAAATACCATTTAAAAGTAAAAATATAATACGATATGCTATATGGTATATTGGTAATTTGACATAAAAAAAATCTTGACGTATAAGGGGCTAAAACAAAATGTAAAATTCAAATTTTAATTCTTAATGACCCAAAACCCCTAAAATTATTTTAATAGTAAAATAAAAAATAATTTATTCGTAAAAATAGGATTGATTAAAAAAATTTTAGTAGATTTGTTCCAAATTTAGTTCAATAAAATAATATACAAATAATGCAATAAAAAAACCTTTCTATTTCTAGAGTTCAAGTTCCAGCGAGATTCCACAAGTAAAGAAAACAATCAATTTACTATTATTATAATGGACTTTAAATTTTAAAAAATATTTTTAGCTTGAACAGTAAAAGTTATTTTTAATCAATTGATAATGTTTTATTTGAAATTTGTTTGGCTAATTCCTAAAAGAATAATTGCATAAAACAATTGCTTTAAATTAAAATATAGAACACTCTGTGAGTTGTGCAAATATTTATTTGAATAATAAAAGAGTATAAAGCCACTATCAGTTAAATTTACATTTAAAAGATGTCTAGTTCAATAACAAAAAATTATTGTATTTACTATTTACTATAACCTAATTTTACTGTTTTTGCACCAAAATTTAGATAACATTTAAAATTTTCCTAAAAATATTATATTATAATTTGATTTGATTCATTTGTTTTACAACAAAACTAAAATAGGAATACTTGGAACGATTGTATAACAAGGATGTTGTTCCGCCGTTAAGTGAAATACCGACGTTAGACATGTCGGAGTTTGCCTTTAACGACAAGGACTATCACTTTCTTACGACCGAATGCAACGTTGACAAAGACTGTTTGGATAATAAAAAAGTGTCCGTCAAAAAGTACCACCAGAAAATACAGGCAATACAATGTGTTAACGGGTTGTATGTTTTGAATGTTTTGGATGAACTAAAATCAATCATGGTCGGTCTGAAAAATAACAGCACTTCAATTTCTTCACTTCAAGAAACCGTCGAGGAATATAAATTGTATATGTCCAGCATGTTGACCCTGCTAAACCTGACACAATGGGACGCTTACACTTGGCAAATCAAGATGTTTACTTTTTTGTCGGGACTCGCAGATTCGGACGTTAACATTAAATCATACGTGGATCATTTCGAAAGTCTCAGCGTATCCATGCGAAATACCATATTAGTGTTCGTTAACCGATGTGTCCAGCACAGCTATTTAATGTCGCTGGACAACAGAACAGCAGAGAAGCCTGTATTCCGATTTATTGAATCTGTGTACAAAGATTTTGAAGTGATAGCCATCCCCAGACTATTATATACAGTACCGAATCTCATGTTACAGCATCTGTATCCACTTGACGATTTCATTTTTGATTGGTCAACGTTGGAAATCCAACTTGATACGAGTAATATCAATCGTGAGATAAGGACACAACTCGGGTTTTACTGTCCGCAGAATTTGGTTCATGAATGGCAATTGGATCCGATCGGCGGTAATAAGTACAATGTGCTGATTGCTAAATACATCTACTTAAGGGCTGAGTACATAGCTTGGTTCCACTTATACTTATTCCACACATTACTGGACCGACAACTTGACGTAACCGTAAAAAACTCAAACTATAAAGGACGACTGATCGGTATGTGGAGTAAGCTCGCCCCTGCTCTGAAACGTTTATTGAGATATTTTGGATGTAATGAAAATATCTACTGGTCTGCATTAAGCATTCTGATGGTCGACTTTAAGAGAATTAGCAAAGATGAACTCGCGGCACGGGAAAAGTATACGAGAAATTATTTTTGCCAATCTGTAGCGGATTTAGGACTCGCCAGTGCATCCGACATGGATCGACAATTGCAGAAATTAGATATTCCAAAAGATTACTCTCTAATGTACAAAAGTATCCAAGTTAATGTCAAAAGAACAGACCAATTTTGTTATGATCTATCAATTGCATCACATCCAGGTAGAGGCGGATATATTCGTACATTAGCGTCTGCTAAAGGAAATGAGAACTTTGTTACGCGTTAGAAGATTTTAAAATTAAAAATAAATAATAATTAACAATAAAATATAAATAATAATTTTCTTTTGTGATTGACACGCATGTATTTCCATTATAACCTCTTTCAAATATAAATATTTGTTTAAAATATAACAATAGTATTTTATAAATAATTTATTATGTTTATATAATTGAAAAATATAATATACATACTTGGGCAATATTAAAAAAATTAAATAATTTTTTTATTTAAATGACCGTCGAATAATTTTCGAATTGTAATTATTCAGATAAAAAAAAAATCTATTAAATGATTTGTTCCTAGTTTTTTTGAAAATTGTATTATTCTTAGACTAGTTATTTTTATAAAGGGACCATTCGATCAAAGTAATCTGAGTACAATTAACCTTGAAAACATAAACAGACTAATTTTGTCCATACAACAAATTTTAGGGATTCTTAGAAGTTAGTTAATTATTTAATGTCATATCATTTTAAACGGTTGCAAGTGTACTTTAATATTTTCACGACTTAAATCTGAGTTATATTATCTTGGGTACTCATAATTAGAACGTTTGGAAGGCTAAACTCCACACGAGCTGATGCAAGAACAATAACAGTTCGGGCTACCGGGGAAGGAGAGGGGAGAAACTAATTAATGCGTGCGTGGATTATTTTATTATTATTATAGGTAACAACAGAGTGATCGTAGCATAATATTATTATAAGATGCTCGTAGATATCAATATAAGATGCTTGTAGACTGCGAATTCTAGTGGTGGCTATAAAACAATATGTGATTAACTCTGCAGCTGATAATAGTAACCGCTGCTTATAATAATTTAAAAATAAACATTAAATATGTATATGCATATGCATTACAACTGTCGAGGACACGGCCGGTAAACAATCCGAACCGGAGGCACGATCACCACGCATTACAAAAGAGATAAGTCGGATTAAAAAAATATAGGCAAGTAAGTACAAAAGTTGAATCTAGATCATTGTCATATTATACTATTGTCGATACATAATGTGGGCTCGTTGGCGCGGTGGCCACTGACGACAATAACAATCCTTTCATAATAACAACATGTCGGGGTACGGTTTTGTTTTTTCTCACAGCCCACAACGAGGATATATATTGTTCACCGGTATCGTTATATGATAATTGCACGCGCTTGTAAATTTCTAGATAATATACTATAATATTGTAATATGCTCAATAAAATGCAAATAAATAATAGGTATACATTAAGATCATTTTTTTTTTTTTTTTAATCGTTCGTTAAGAATATTTTTTATACACGACAAGCACGACAATGATAATTTGTTTGTGTTGTCGCAACTCTATAAAGTTATATATAATAATATGCTACTTTCAACGGCACAGTATATTATTTTTTTATAGTGTAACGTTGTATTGACTTAGCCGATCGCCGTGGAATGACGCAATTTTACTTTGTTGATTGACTTGAAGAGCTTGTCTTGAATAGGAAAAAATTTACTACACATTAGTAGCGAGAAGACGGACGTTTGTCTTAGTTTTAATATAATAACATATACATACATACAGGTAGATTTCCTACCCATGCGGTAAGGTCAGGTTAGGTATATTATAAATTTGATTATGAAAAAAAGTCTGTGTGTGTGTAACATCTTGTGAACGCTTAATTTTCAATGTCCTCTTAAACTATAAGAGCGATAGTTAATTCCGAGCTCAATAGATAGAGCTTGTCAAGAAAATACAAAATATGAGCAAATATTAAGCAAATTAAAAATAAATTATTTAGATTTGTTACAATTAAAAAAAATTGTCCACTTTAGCTAAATTTGTCTTTAAACCAAGATCCAACCAGATCTCTGAAACCAATTAATGGATTTTGTTATTTAGGGTCATAACTCTTATTGAAATCGCCTTGGCATGTAGAAGTGCTTTGAAGAGTTTCAGAAATGTATCTAATATAGTTCATTCGCTATAG